TTCTTGTGGACACGAAGCTATCCGCTATAGTTTAGACATTGCTTTATTTTGCGCTGCGACTGTACAAATGTACGTGACTGATCGGCCGTTTGAGATGCAATAAAGAATAAATAATCGAGAAATGTATATCTGTTAAAACGCATTCTTGTAATGAGGTTACGGATATAATCTTTATGAAAATTCGACCAGACTTAAAACATGATCAATGACGCCACCTTCGGTTACGGTTACGTTTTCCTGTAAATCCCTGCAATCGCATCACGAACAAGACGCTGTGGGAGCGTATATTTGGGTGTCGATGTACTAGTCGTGTGTGAAGGTTTTTAAATGTGTATTAGGAATGTGCGAGTAGTGCAGTAGCGTTGCATATTTTAGGGGTTGGTTGAGAGGCGTGAAGTGGAAGGCGTGGACTTGTATTGGACGTGAATTAGTAAGATAATAGCCATAGTTTGTTAATCAGTGAAACTTGTTTTTCGTAGAGTTTAATACATGTATGAAGTAACAAAAATAATTATTTTGGGAGGCAAAAGTCATTTTAGGTGTTGCAGTGAGGTAGTTGTGGAAGTGCTAATTTGGTTATGAAGTGTAGGTACATGTAGGTACAGTGTGTTGAAATGAAGTGGTGGTTTTGAAAAGTCTTCTCAATAGTCGAAAGAGAAGAGGGTACGAAGATGTTGAGGGAGGAAAGCTGAAATTTTGTGTGTGTGCTCGAGAGCTTTGAAAAATCGGCGTAAAAGCCGGCCCTGGTTACATGAGCCGGGCTGGCTCGCTTTGCAGAAAACCCGGCATCTTAGTTAAATACGCAGCAAAAATCAACTTTGCGATTATATGACAACCGAACCAGCCCGGTTAGCCGGGATCCCAGTATTGTGATGCAGGGATCCCGGGTGGAAATTTTCCAAGTAAACACGCTGCCGGGCGGCCCGGCGAATGAACTAAGCGAAAAACAGGACAGCAGGTAACATACTGTTTATGCGCATTGCGTCCCCGGCTCGTGTAATCAGGGGCCCGTTAACTAGAAAGTCCCGATAATTAACGGTCCGTAAAGCTGTTATTGTTTACATGCAAGATAGAGGTTAGAATAGTTTTGCATCTAACTTGATAAAACTATCAGTTAATGAAACAAAATGGAGTAGTTTGCTAGCCAGGATTCGTGCTCTTATTCTTTATATTTCGGTTTGAATATTTGATTTCGGGCCCGAAACGTTACCGGGACTTTCGAGAAACGGGCCCCAGGTCCTTACTCTGAGTTATATTGTCACGCAGTTTGCTTGTGAAAGCTTTGGAATTAGCTGCTTTCGTGGTTCGTGTATGAGAGAATACGACTTAATCTTACTATAACCAAACGGTTTTAAAAATAGAAGGCAGTTTGCACGTGAAGATGTTGGTCTCTGCCCCATTTACGGTTCGACCGTGAAAGAATACAACTTCTTTACGAGGTCATCTTGCTCAATAAGATTTTAAGAAATCACCTCCTTCCAAAAATATGCAATGAAGTTATGTATCATTCAAAGTTAACCTTAATTATCT